TCATCCGGACCGTCTTGTCGACGGTATGCTACTATCAATGTGATGGGCTCGGGCCGTGCTCTCTCTCTCTCTCTCTCTCTGTCTTTATCTTTATCTTTTCTACCTTGTGCAGCCGATGCTCCGTGGCCGAAGAACCCTCAAATTCACGGGGCTGAGGGTCCTGCCATTAGGATGGATGTGATGCGGACGAAAGATGGACAGCTCGTCCTCTTCCATGATGTGCCCGTTGAGAAGAACTTGGAGAAGTTGACCGGCGGGGCGCTCAGAGCTCGGGTCCTCGGATAAAGCCTCAAGGCCTGGGAAGTGCTGACAGAAGCTTGAAAGGAGTTTGCAGTGTTCCCTGGGGCCGTGTGCTGCACAAGAAGAGAGAGAGAGAGAGAGAGAGAGAGAGAGAGAGAGAGACAGAGAGAGAGAGAGAGAGAGAGAGAGAGAGAGAGACAGAGAGAGAGAGAGAGAGAGAGAGAGACAGAGAGAGAGAGAGAGAGAGACAGAGAGAGAGAGACAGAGAGAGAGACAGAGAGAGAGAGAGACAGAGCCCTGCAAGTAGGTGCGACGGAAGGATTAGCACTAAGCAAAACTGCGCAACACAGCGTGTCTGCTTTCCTCTGTTTCTGCTAGCTTCCTGGAGGCGTCGCTGGCGACATTTCCAGCTTCGACTACGACGCCCTTCCGGACGGTGCAGAGTTGGTGATTTGCATGGGCTTCTTAAGAACTTTGAAACCTGGACACTGCCGAAACCTTGAAGCCTTCAAACCCAACACCCAACATTGCAATATGGGTGCCTTGTTCTTGGAGCTGGGCTTGGGGCCTTTATGACCTCTAGTGATTCTATTGCACAAGAACTATATACAGAGTTCTGTGCCACTACTTGCGGGGAAGGTCCGAGCCACAGGAGGTCTCAGACTGTGCCTCTGTCACCTTTCACTGCAAAAGCAGGATTTGGGTTTAGGGGTTTGGGGTTTGGCGCTAAGGCTCGGGTAGGGGGCGTTTTGAGTCTGAAGGGCTTTGGATTTAGGGCCGTTGAAATTCATTTCAACGAAGGCTGAGGGCCCTGTTCTGAATGAGTCTTAATGAGGATATCCTCTATATCATTCGGGGTGCTCTCGGCCAGGACTTCAAGAGAGAGTTTGAGGCCTCCGCTATGTGTCCACCTGGAAGCAAGCCGGTACCCGTGCAACAGAGGCCTGGCCCTGGGTCCGAACCCGGAAAGCCCTTTAAATGCTCAGCCCTGATTGTACAACCCTGAAGTGCCTTGAAGAAGAGCAAACAGTCAAATCCTGCAACTCGGCGAGCCTGAAACCCCAAATCCTGAAGCTCCAGGCGCATAAGCCTCTTCAAAGATGCCTGTCGAGCCCTCGCTGCGAGCCGCACGGATATCATTCTCGAGTTCTGGCAGGACAGGGCCCCTTTTGGGGGGGGAGGAGAGGGTGCAGCGTTTTTCTGACACACATTCGCGTCGATGGTTCGGATGGGGTTTACTGTTCAGCCCATGAAAACGCAAAGCTTGTTGCAGGAGTCGGAAGTGGTCGTGCTGGTCATCGGCCAGATTTCAGCAGATTATGCTTTGACCGTTATCGGTTGAAAATCCCGTGTATTTTGTCAAGCTTGAAAACCAGAATTAAATGACCATGGTTTCGAGGCGTGTTTACACCCGAGAAAGCCGTAGGATTGGATTGAACGCATGAGTATCTCCGGCGATCTGAGCTGTATAAAACGTACCTTCATGATAAGCTTTTGGCTTGGATTCTGAAGGTTTCCAGGGATATTTCCTGTTTAGACCTTACCGTCAAGATGAAGCCTCTTGCTTCCATAGTTCCATGCTGGGATGGCATAACCCCCGGCAATTGATGTCCCAATAACAGCGCGTTTCCTCCTTTCCCGTTTCCACCCTTCGGCTTGCACGCTGATACCAGCGAAGATTGGTCCAATTTGACTCGCAGGAGGCTCGTGAGGCCGATTGCAGTAATGCCCAAAAAACATACCTTGATGATGATGCGTAAAGCAGGATTGTGTCGGTCAACAGTTTCGCCCGCGTCGCCGAGGAAGCTTTGGAGGTGCTTCGGGAGTTCGGGCTGCAAAACCGTGTGGCCGCGTGGGGCTCTCCCGAACTCGCCGCGATACAGCAGCCTGGTTTCTCAAGAGTCGTCTCAAGGTTGTCTTTATGTGACACGGTGAAGACATGAACTTCATATGCATGTGCTGTCCAGAGTTACAGCAATATTCAATATACCCCTGACCCCACTTCAATTCTCAAGCCCCGACTTGAAGTCAGGGTTGTCCTCTGGCAGACTCAGGCAGTGGTGCCGGAAGGCATGCCCCGAGATCCCGGTCATCGCTATACGTCTCGAATACAAAGCTTTGACACCTTCACCTTCTCTTGGGTTCATGTGCTTTACTAAGACAGGCTCGAACTTCGTTCCTTGGTTCTTGGGGAAGTCAGGTTACCTTCAAGCAATCTTTCCTGGTATGGTTCTATTGGAACATGGGGTTGCTGCGCTGCCGGGCCGCAGAGCACCATGCCCTTTTCACTGTCGGTTTAGAAGTTTAGGGCCGTTTAGGGCCTAGGGCCTGGAGACCAAAGTCTCCATTGCATTCAATTACCAACGTCGCCGAGGATGCGGCTATCCGACGAAGCAGCTGCTGCCATTCTTCTCCGAGAGCGAACCCAGGGTCGTCTTCAACGTGCTTCACGTTTCTGAGGCCGTCACTCCCGCGTGGAAGAGGTCTCTTCAAGGGGTGACTTGGGAAATTGGTTCCTGTTTGGCTTCACCGCCATTCCGTTCTGAAGGTCCTGGGGCTGAGTATCATGAATGTCTGATATCGCATCAAGGTCACCATAATGATTTTACCCAAAACCCTGTTCTATTTACTGCCGGCCCTCTACTCAGATGCCCCAAGGCGTTAAGCCGAGATTGGACAGGCCCTCCCTCACGCGATCTTCAAGCTGGCCAAAGTCGACCCTGAACGCTCGCCGATTCGTGCTGGCCTGATTCGCCTGCTGCTGCGACTGCTCAAGGCCTCTGTCACTCCGGCTAGCTGTCGCGACGAGCATACTCAACCATCCATCCATGATCCTTGAACCCTGAGGCAACCTGAAACCCCAAATACATAGATAACCCCAAGCCCCTGAAATCCGAAACACCTAAACTCTATCAACCCTCAAACCCTAACAGGTACTTGGGACAGAAGCCTCGAGAAAACCACCGAATCCCATAAAGGAGCCTCGAAGGGAACAAGCAGGAACCAGAGTTTAGCGTAGGGCTTTTGCTGCCCTTCGAGGCCTTTACTGACACGCCGCGGCTCTTTGGCTTTCTCTCGGAACGCCACAAGGTGTGGGGGATCCGAAACAGCACATGACGAAGCTGGTGGTTGGTCGGTGGAGTGTCTCACAAGGAGCAACAAGGGGCTTTTCGGGTTGAGGAGTATAAGAATTTAAGTCGTGCCTTACCCTCGAATCCCAAGCCTTGACGGCTTCCTCCGTCTCAGAAACTATCGACACGACATAGCTGTCCATCCGAGGGAGGCACTGCTCTGTTTCTCAAGGGGTCCAGCGAAGCTCAGGGGCGGGCGGGGTTGCAATTTCATTGCTATGAGCTCGGCGGCGTGCCTTCAACTTGCATGCTTGCGTTTTGAGCTGGGCGGTCCGAAGCCGTCGGAGGTCCCCACCGTGCTCTTCATCGCCAATACAGCAAGGGATGTGGCCACCTGCAGCTCATATCCTGGTGTCGTTGCCGTGCAGACCGACTCCCGACGAGAGTGATTTTGCTTTGTGGTTGCTCTTGAGCGAGGAAACTCAGTCATAGAGCGGAGCAGGTGACAATGTTGAGAAGTTCAGGTCCGTTAGCCGCCCACTTCCTCTTGGCGTTTTAACATGATAGAGGCATGTTCTGTCCAGCGATTGCCAAGGACTTTCCGAAGCAATTTCGAGCGGACTTGGCGATGACTAAGTAGGTTGAGCTGGGGCTGTTCTATCCGAAAATCAGAAACTCATGAAGATCGGGCTTAATCCAAGTTGCGGAGTTTGGTCAATGGGCTGTAGGCACAACTGTTAGAATGTTTGTTGTTGCTGGGCAAGTGCCAGTTGCCTTGAAGGTGTAGGGGCAACCGTAGCATCCGCAGATCGATTTGTCAAGAGAAACACCAGCGCTTTGGCAGCTTGCATGGGCATGGTCGGCCATCATGTTAATTTCCTGACGCAAAGGCCTTCGCGGCCCCTTTCCGGGCCAGGGCTTAGGATTTGAGGAACATGATCGCCCGAGCTGTTTTCTTGCCACAACCCCTTTTGCGCACCCCGATTTCGCTGTGGGAGACTTGCGCACAGTTTTGATACCTCGTTTGCATATCACACAGCCTCGCACTCCAGCGCCTCGCCGACTCTTGTGCAGATGTTGAACATCTATCGTCTAACCGCCAGCCAAAGGTCTAGCTGCATCCAGCAAGCGAGTGATGACATCCACAGCTGCATGTCGGTTGTCCTCCGCCGAAAGTGCATCCCCCGTCATCGGGATCCTCTTCTCACCACAAGCCTACGCTCCCATGCATGACCTGTGTATACTTGGATGCCTAATTTGCTGCTTTTTTGGGGGCCCGAACCCGTGCGCCTTTCACGTGAAACTGATGCGTTCCCCCGTTGGCTGGGAAGGGACTCAGGCGATGTTCGGAAGTGCTCCAAGCTTTGTGCATCATCCTCGAGGTGCAAACGCGGTTTTGATGCCATATTCCACCGGCTCAGAAGCAGTGAGCAGGTGTGCACTGTATCGAACGCTTGAATCCAGCTTCACAGTCCCCGCCTCTGACTGTAGCGCCTGTGGCGCGACTATCGCGGGAAGACGAGTCTAACTATCCATCCAGTACCCAATGTTAAGCGTGATCATGCTTGGCACCAACACTTCCTGGCTCGCAGAGTCACTATGAGTCACTCCAGGCTCACCTGTGGCTGCAACCTTCTGAACCCAGGGATCTCAAGTTACACCAGAAAACAGCACACCCCTCCTTGAGCGATGCCGCGGGGCTTCCTGGCAGCCCTCTTGGGTCCTGAGGCCAGGATGGCTCAGTTTCGATTCTGTTACTGGTGCAGAATTATTCGAGCAGCTTTCTTGCGGAATCCGGCCTCAACTGTAAGTGGTGTCCAGCATGCTGCCTTTTGAGCGACCTGTGAGGCAAGAAGCAGCACTCAACGAACCTCACCGTAAACATGCAGCCTGAAGTACGAATTCGTGTCAGACCACCCAAATGTATGCATAGCAATAAAAACCACCAAACCCGACTATGCTTATGTAGGTCCGTGCCCAAAGCCAGCCAGGATGCCCCGCACTGGGAAGCACCAGCCCCACCCCAGCTGCTTGGCCAACCGAGCTTGCGAGGCTGAGGTGGTTTTGACTAACTCCTCCGCGTCTCTGGGGATCTAGGGTTTGGGGACGTCTGGGTTCAAGGAAACCCCCCCGAACTGTTTTTGATGCATTGTCTGACCAGATATACATGTAGAAAGCCAGGGGAGTCCTTGAGAAGCACCTTTTGCATCACTCATTGAGCCATCTCAGGCATCGTCCTTTGCAGGCCAGCAATGCGTTTAAACTTCGGGTTTCGGATACGTGCAAGGCTTTGCTCTCTGGCTGGCCTTGGATGCTCTGAGTAGGGGTTATGGGAAGTACACACGTGCGCAAAGGTTCAGATGCGCTGGTGTTCGCATCGGTCATGACCGCTGCAGTCACTGAGCTTTCACGAGCCGGAGCTCGGAGCACGAAGTCGTTGCTTCTGTTGCCTGACACTTCCGCTGTTGACGAAGCTGGCAGGGATGGGTTTGTTGCAGAGCAATACTTATCCGTAGTCAAGCTCCTAAGTCTGCGAAAGGACACTGAGTGAAAGCCTCTGTATGCACGGATGTAAGAACATAAGCTTACGGTAAGTGCATGAGTATGTAAGCAGAGTACACAAGCAGTAATCTAGGTCTTATTCCTGCTTTTCTAGGGTTTGCAGTCTTGTTCGCTGTTGTGTGAGTCTGTGTCGGTCTTCCTCTGTCTGCCTCTATTTCCGTGCACCTCTCTCTCTCTCTCTCCCCCTCTCCCTCTGTGCTTATCTCTCTCGGCTTCTATGTGTACCGCGCACTTTCTCCCTTCACAGGGAGGGCATATTCATCACCACTCATGCCTCGGCGTGCAGGGCGTCAAAGACACGCCCCTTGACGCGCCGGGAGCTCTGATGGTCTGCTGAGAGCGCCTGTTGGTGAAGCCCTTGCAGACAGTTTTGCGAAGATCGAAAGCCTCCAAGCTTCGGTACGAACATTCTGAGACAGGTGATCGTGCTCGTGCCCCATCCTCCCATCAGTAGCCTTGCCTTCCGAGCTTTCTATCCAATCAAGCTCCGAACCAGCAGTAGCAGCATTTCGCTAACATGCCACTGTCATGCAGTGAAGCAGCAGGGATTTGGGTTTGACTTGGGCGTGGCATCTCCGCGTCGACCATCAAAATCATTGCGGCAGCCTGCAAAGCCGAGCTGATAGCACGAAGCTCACGTTTCCGTGACTCACACCAGCCCTTGTCCACCAAAGCCTTCGAGCATCACGGATCCCAGGTCCGTTGCGGTTTGCCCCTTTCCAACATCCCGCCGCTGGGTCCGGCCACCCAGACTTCCTACGGGGTCGTAGGACAGTTAGCTGCAGTTACATACGTTGTTGGTTATGGGGGCTTCATGTGAGGACAGTACAGTCTTTGCTCGATTACTCGTACTGGCTAGGAGCGGTTGGGCAGCCTGTTTACTCATGTGTGTATGTGTATATATATATATATATATATATAGTTACAGCTGCACTCCAATATGCCCACTGAGGCACACCTCTCCAGTTTTTTGGCAGGCACGGGCGCACGAGAAGCACGCTCAGCATTCTGCGACATGCTTCTGAAGTATTGGTACTCTTGACCGGATTGTAATCCACATTCAGAACATCAATGAAGCGAGATGCACAACTCAGGGTTTCGTGCATCATTATGATTCATGTGACCCTCTATGCGATTGATATCATGCATGCAGAAGCCAGTAGTCTTCACGCATGCTTGCTGTTCCTTGCATGAGACATGGGGGTTGCGCAGGCGTCTCACCCGCTTAAGTACTGCACAGGATTTGGGTGCCTGTGCAGATCTCGGATTTGGTGAGGGTTTTTAGCGTATGTTCGCTTTCCAGGTGAGGTCCACTTTCATGCTCCGATCGACAATGTCGTGGACCCGGACTTCGTTAGGTTAGGCCTCTCCAGGAAGTTTGACTCACTCTTGACCCTTCAATTTGCAAGTCCCGCAGTCTTCCCCAAGTTCCTCACTGAACAGCTTTCCTTCCTGTCCTGAATTGCAAGCCATTCACAGTCATGCCGCGACACGATCGCAACATGAGGCCGCTTCAAGTCCGGTCCTCGGGATGGTTGCAGTCTCTGTCAGACGCCTCGCTCAGGGTTTATAGGATTTAGTAGTCAGGGTTGTACGTTAGAAGCTTTGCAGCTTGAGAACTTGGCCACTAGACCTCGGCCTGTCTATGCAAAGCGCCCAAGCTCAAGATGGGACGGCGTCTCGCATTGCGCGTGAACGGCTCTTATCCTGCAATAACCCGTATGGTGTGAACATGAACTGAGCATGCAGCTAACTAATTGAGGCCAACTGTTGAGCGCATCAGTGTTCTGGGATGCGCACGTGTGGTGTGGAACTTCGTGCCTGGACAATGCGCAGACTCAACCTACACGACGAGCTCGAGGGAGGACGACGAGCTTGGGCCCTGATACGTTTCTTCAATCGTGTCTCAGATATCAGAAGCGGAGTGACGAAGTGTTCCATTTTCTGCTCTGGTGCCAGGATTTTTGTCTTCGGTTTCATAGCTGTAGGCATTTATTCAATCTGCAAGCTTCTGGGTCAGGCACAGCCGAGGTCGGTGTAGCTTCAGCAAGTTGCTTGCTGCTGTTCGAGTGCCGATCACACCGTCGCTCGGCAACTAGTAGTCCCGCAAGCAAAGGTCCAGGCATGTCCGTGCTTCGTGCTTTGCCTGAATGATATTGAATGGATCAGCCCTTCTAACAGACTAGACCCGTCCATGCCGAGAAGTCTGTCAATCAGCTTCAACCGTGCAGACACCAGGCCCTGGAGCTGAATTGGCTTTACCCTAAACCCTGATGCCCTTTAAAAGCCCTGAAACCCTGCAACCCTGTAAAACCATAGCCTATCTAAACCCCAAACCGCCTTCCGTCTGCAGCACGAGCCCCTTCTCTGCGAAACAAGCACTGGCACCCGGTACCGGCTACTGGCCGCGCCCTTAGAGACTTCGGAGTTTCAGAAAGCCAAATCAAAAGGACCCTACAGGCCCTAAGTTAGCTTTCGTACAGGGGCCTGAATCAAGAGGGCTTTGGGTTACGTATACCATGATGATACCGTAGAGTGACTATACCTCGTACTGGTAGGAAGGTGGACAGGTAGACCGATATAGAATCAGCGATCATGGCGCATCCGCACTACAAGGACCTGTGTTGGGTTTCAAGATTCAGGGCGTGGCTTAGGGCCCGCACGGTTTAGGGCAACGTCCCCCCCTCATCGTACAGACCTCCACTGTGGTTCACAGCACTGTTGCGAACAGATAAATTAGGTGCCTGGAGCAGAAGGAACGACCCCAACTCCAAATCGGGAACAGCAAGAGCTTCAAGCTGAGCCTTGGTTTTGCTGGGTTATCCGCGCTTGCGGGCCCGCAGCTGAAGACGAGCTGCCCCAGGTGCTCCACCGGCAAGCATGAGCCAAAGGATTTGGTTGCCCCTTGGCACAGATCTGGGGGAAGGAGGGAGTTTTGGAGGCCGACAACCCCCCCCCCCCCGCATCAAATCTAATTTTAGATATACTGAACCGGAAATGGCTCACCTCAACCTGAACCTTGAGGAAGTTGTAGCCTCTGCTCGACCAACTGTAAGTAGAGTGGTTACCATCGCTTCCCGGCTTAGAGTTTGGAGAAGAACTTGCTGCCTTGCTGCCTGATCGTTCTTTGTCGCTGGTTATCTTGAGCTGTCGGGACATGCTATCGGATCAGCCAAGATCAACTGCAGATGTGGTGCATTGCTACAGATGCCCTTTGGGGCTCCAGATCACCCTTGGAATGGACCTGCCAGATCTGGACCGGCATCATGCACAAGCGTCGAAAGGTCCGTGGACTGAAAGTTTCGTGGGCCTGGCGCTTAGTCCTTCGCGGGGACGCGGGTGAATTCGGAGCGAAGGCCACGCAGGGATGTGGACTAGTACCATCTTTCCCCGTCTCCAATATCATGGTCACCAGCATGTTCGAACACAACCCGTACAATGGTAGTCCGACTCCAGTACTTGGTGTGATCCGAGGCCTGGGCAGCTTGTTCGAGGAGTTACGGACATTGACTGTAGTATTCAGATGCACATCTGCATGGCATCAGCCTCTCCGCACGAAGTTAAGAACGGGATAAAATCCGGCGGCTCTTCGGCTGAGCTTTGAACGTGGACTCGAAACCCCCAGTCACAACCCGCCAACCCTGCGCGATTCTGGGCCTGGGCCTCAACTATACCCTAAAACCCTGAAGCCTCACAATTACTCCAGTGGTCCCAACCCTAATGCTCGTTCAACTTTCTCGCGACGGAGGCCTATGCACCGGGATGGGTTCGCGTCCGCAGCACTCCCGACGGCAAGCACTGGGATACCGTACCGCTGGCTCGGGCTTTGCGGCTTCAGGCTTCGGTGTGTGAGATTGCTGGTCTCATCTCGTAGCTGCACCCCAATGCACCTCGAGCCGCTGGCTGCCTTTCCTTTTCGGTTCGAGCTCGATGGATGGGCTAGCACAACTAACACCCAGCAGAGCAAGCATTGTCATTTCTCTTCAGCTGCCTTCAGTCAGAGTTCAAAGAGCTATGTTTTCTTTACTGATGCATGTTTGGGAGTTTACAGTCTAAACTCCCAAGGCCTAAATCTGAACTGAGTCGGGAACTGCTCCCATGGCTCAATGCAACCGCCCACCCATTCCGCTGCCGCAGCCGCAGAGTGTCCCTGAAGCGTACGAGCACCAGGCACTTGAGAAACGAGTTCAGATGCAGCAGTCCTGTAATGTCTTCACTGCGATTGTGACAAATACGAGTGCCAGCTTTAATTGTTTCAGACTGTTGCCTTATTGTGGTCTGCCTCAGAACCTGTTGCCCGGGGCACGGTGCCGTGCAAGGAGGCACAATGCGAGTAATTCCTGTCCCCTGCTGAACCTTGCGAGAGAACATCTGTGTGTTTACTACCGGGAACTGGGCTGGAGCTGTCTAACTTGGGGCTCGGAAATTTGCTGGAACCATTCACAGCTGTAACTCCATAAACGCCTGTAAGGCCAACCCCCATCAAGCCCGATTACGCCCAAAAGCATTGGAAACGAAGACAGCGCCCTAAGCGCCGCAACCCCACGTACTCTCACCCTGCGCCAAAGCTAGATACTGCATAGGGGCTTGATCCTGTCTTGAATCCGTACAATGGACAACTCGGGTCAAAATATTTGGGGTCCCCGTGAAACTCCCCTGGGTCTGCGCTTGCCGGCTTCGTCCATACAAGGCGATTGAGACACCTCGGGCAGCAGCGCAGCTCGCTGGCAATCGCTTGCCGTTCTCTGAAGGGACCAGAACTAGTAAGGATCCCAGGACATATTGTGGAATATTCCGTTACTGGTGGAGTTTTAGTAAATGAAGTGACGTTCCCCGGTACAAGCCAGAGGCGACCACCAGTAGATCCAGAAGCTTTTCCGCAGACCATGGGGGGCTGAATCGTTAAAATGTTGTTACACAAGGTCGAATATCGGGGGCTTCGTCACTAGACTGGAGTTTGGGGATATTGGAGCCAAATCTTTAATAGTGGCCTTGTTTGATCCATGTGCTGAGACTCGCCACTCAGGATTTGCGTGCCTGGCCAGTTCGAGCTCAGCTACGAAGGCAGCCCTCAGTGTTGACACATGCCCACTTTGAGCAAAGCCAGATCCTATGAGCCAGGACCTAGACCCTGAAGCCCTTGTGCGCATCTCTTGCATTTGCTGTGGCCTAGATCTTCATCCTAATCCTACAAACCCTGAAGCCCGAAACCCTCATCCCTAAACCCCAACCCACGCAATCAATCTTGGTGACCTAGTCGTGGTGGAGCGGAGCCGACTTCTCGCGTGCCGGCTGTCTGAACGGTTCGCGGCAGCACAGATCCTCGCAGGCGACAGAGCGAGGTTTGGACGGAGTTGGCTTTGGGCTTCCATTGGGGCTTATCTCAGGTTCACACGGGGTCTGTGTTGAAAAGCTTTTCCCAAAGGAGCGATCAAGGCAAAACTTTCCCTTCAAGGAGATCCGTGTTTTGAGGACAGGTGTTGCGAACCACCACCATGTGTCACCAGTGGAGCTGCAACGACAACAATGCTGATAGCAGCCTCATGCTGGCAGTGCCGGAATCGCAAGCATCATGAGAATGTGATGCAAGGACGGAGCAGCAGGGTTCTGTGGGCATTCTGGTCGACAGGACTGCCGGGCCAATGTGTTCAATCCTCGAAGCTGCAGAAGAGGGCATCAGTGCGCGACAGGTTGTGCTTGCTGCTATTTATCTTCTGTTTGGTTCAGAATCCTCTGAGAGGGAGTGAGGGAGTGGGCCGGCGGGAACGGGGGAGGGCGCGAGACTGCCCGGGCTTAAACCCTATAAAGCCTTTGACAAACGGAAGCCCAGGATGTGCGTGCAGGACTCATCCAGACTTCCTGCCGCTCCTGCTGGCATGCGCTCGCTGCCTCCGGCCGTTCATCCTCCTCAGTGCTTCATCTTACTCTGTACGTAGCATATCCGTTTTTGATGGCGTGTCTGTGGATGAGTAGGTGACGATGTTAAGTTTGGAGTGTGGCTCTTAATTACAGCCCGGCACAACAGCAACTGCAAGGGAGTTGCAGTGTGTTGGGCAGCTCCGCCGGACTAATGTTCACTTCATATTAAGAAAGGGGCCCCCCCCCTCCCCCGCAAGGATGGGAGCTTCAGCCTCTCTAATAAGAGTCCGGGTCCAGCATGAGAGCCATTCATGTGCTTCTGCAGTGTTCGCGGATATGCTGAGGCACTAACTTCAGAAGCTTGGTAAGAGTCCAGAAGCCAGACGTGTCAGAGCCCAGCTTGCAGCCCCTGGAGAATCCCCAACAGTCCCAAAGCCTTTCCAGCTCCTGTAGATTCTGCTTACAGTTTTTTCCGCTCAGGCCGCTTGGATTCTGCAAATACGGGGGGTTTCTAATTACGTTCTGGGAATCGGATTTTGCAATTACGCGGGGGATTCTAAATATGAGGTCAACATTAGCGTTGCACCGGTACCACAAAGCAAGAGTTGGTAGACTTAGTGCTCTGGGCGAAGAGATCTGTTCAGTATTTGGTCTCGTGCGGCGAACAGATATTGGGAGAACGTTTGCGACTTCGGGTGCAGCACGACTCAGGACACTACTCCGAGGTTCACACGTAGAGACATTGCTTGAAATGCAAGACACGAGAGATGCTCAGCCAAACTGTTCGCGCGAAGCATACTGACCTGCCCTGTCGCAAGGCACTGACTTACCAGATGCTGCCCGGCAAGACTCCAGGAACCGCCCTTTGCCAGCGTTTATGTATGCCGTAGGCTCTGATTTCCTTGGAGGATTTCGGTGGGATGGGGGACGGGCGAGGCTGAGGCTCATACTCGATTTGGCCTCGAAGTTGAGAGCCGGCCCTGAATCGAAGGCTTCCTGGTCGAGACCTTGCGGCCATGTCTTCTCGTGCCTTGGATGTCACTGCTACTACAGTACTACAGTGGGTTGTAGCTCCCTTTGCTAGGGTGCCCTTGGGCTGCAGCTCTGCAGCTCTGAAGGGTGAAGGCTTTTTCTTCCAGGAACAGGTACACACTTAGACTTGCTCTTCCAGGCCACCGTGTTTTTGGTGTTTTGCAGAAGGGCCCCCCCCTAACAAAGGGGCTTGAATCATCCGTCATGATCCCAACGTCCCCTTCTAGTCATACAGTAGTTCGTCGAACGCCCTACAAACGAGAAACGAGGCCCCAGGCTATTGACTACGGCACGTCTATCCAAACCCTACAACCCTCGTTACCCCCTGGATCTGCTTCAATGCCAGTGAAGTTAAGCCGAGGTTTCTGACACCTCAGAGCGCATGGCTGCGATCCCACTGACCGACGTCTTGCTGGAGTAGTGTAGGTTTGGGCGGTTTAGGGCCTAGTTTAGGGTTTGGTGTTTTGCGCGGTTTGCTGGTTTGGTTCTTGTAGGGGTGCTGAAGATTTCTTGGTGACTCTGGGATTTGCGGTTTGTAGGTTCTGTTTCTGTTGGGGAATGGAGGTTTACAGGTAAAGGCGTTGGGGCTGAGGTTTTGCGTTTTGGTGCATGCCGTGAAGTCGTGTTTCGTGCTCGGCGCATGCCGGAGCGGATTCAGACTGTTGAGCCTCACAGTTTTTCTCGCACTCGTGTGACGGTACTCGTTACTCACTCATATTACTCTTGTCAATGGGTCTCAGGCTTCGTGGCTCGCCAGTTCATGTTGGCCGCGCTGTAGGGTTTCCTCATGGCCGGCAGGATTCCAGTTGGAAGGCTCCCTTTCCTGAACATCGGTACGGACGCTAAGCCGTAGGACCCTGTAGGATGCCGTAAGCCGCAACACGAGCTGTGCTGCTCATGCTGTTCAGGAAGGAGAGGACTGGATCTCGCTGGAGGATCCCCTGTTCAACGTGGAGCAGCAAGGGAGCCTAGGCACTTTCACCCTAAACCTCTGGGAAACCGCTCATTGAGCGTTCGGGGCTCGCCACTGATGGCAGGCCAATCTGCTCTGGACCGCGTCCAACAACCGCAGCAAGGTGCGTCGGATTGCCGCTTGGATTTTGACTTAGTCTCTGTAGCGTTGAGGTCCATGATTTGCGTCTTGACTACCCCGATTGACGAGGCGTGTTGTCGCTGATGTGCACCGGCGGAAGATGCTTGCCTGCAACCCGAGCGAAGATCGGAGCGATTGACCAGATGTTTGCATGGTCTAGCCGAGTCTAGCCTGAGCCTTGAGAAACTATATGCCAGCGAGTTGAATGCAACCTCAAACCTCGAGCTGTTCAGACTGGCAGGCCAGCGGCTGAAAATCGCCAAAGTCACGCATTGCATGATGCTGCACGAGTTTCGCTATCCGGCAGCAATGGCGATTAGCATCCCCACTCTTGCCTGCATGTTTAGGCTTTGGGTGATTGCTGCATCACTCCTTTCACCGAGACGGTGGAATCCAAACGTTTGGGATCCCTAGCATAGGAAGTCAGGAAGATCAGGAGAGACATCCGCTGCACTCTCCTTGTGCAAATCTCAGGTCACTATGCGGACATCTGCGGACTCGAGGAGCCCCGGAAAGCCACGAATGTCATAGCAGCCCATCCCTGAATCAAGCACGGCACAGGCTGAGCCGCCATACGCTGAGCTTGCGAGAGTTAGTAATGTAGGGGTTTGCGTGCTGGAAGGCTATGTTTATTACATCTTTATGAAGCGCCATGAGGGCGGGCTGAGACTGAAGAGCAGAACCTTCAACCGTGGCATCCGCCTCCAAATTTACAAGACACCCTGAGAGCGTCTCGACTAAGGCCCACAGCTCCGAGCTCGGTCGACAGTATTTCGCAATTTTTTCGTACCCAGGAAGCAGAAGCAGACCCGAACTCACGCCTCACGTATCCTCAGCAGAGCAAAACGGCCTCTTTACACCAGAATTGCTCCGACACCGAATCTGCTTGCAGGGCGCTCCACCCAGGGTCCTCCAGAACTTGTGCCTCGACTGCTGTCAAGCCTCTCTTTGGGTTCGGATGGTGATGCTGTTGTTGTTGGGGTTGCAGTTCGAGATGGTATTGGCCGGCTAAGCACCATTTTGAAAAAGGAAAGCCCCGCATGTTGAAAAGATGACATGGCAAGGCGCAGCTTTTGGCCCGCCGCCGTTGTGGGCCAGCATCTTGGCCTGCAGTGGAGTGTCCGTTCTCATGATCGCGTTGAGTCTTGGCATCTGTGCAGACGTGTTGAACTGCTGAACGAAAGCCTCGCCCAAGTGGCGCTGGCACCAGCCCCGACAGCCCCGAGACCTTCACCAGCTGCTTTTGACTGAAGGAGGTTGTGAGCCCCTCCAACTTCCAACACCCAAGAATCTAAAACTTGAAGGCTCAGCCTAACTCTGGCACTCGCTGGCTGTGCCGTGGTGGCCACCACCGCAGAGCCCATGGAGCTCCTCAGTTTAGCGCCTTGCTCTGAAGGTACTCTCGACCAGGTCTTTCAGATTTGGAGGCAGTTGGATGCTGATATTGTTTCGACCATTGAAGAGTATAGGACCCAGCTTTACAACGCAGAACTCAGGTGATCAGGACCTTACAGCAGGAGGATTTTGGTTATAAGGGCCTCTGAACTGCAGGAACCAGACTTTATGGGCTTACATAAACGACAGAATCCTTATTGTCGCAGTCCCCTGAAAATTTCAGAGTTCAGGTAATCGTACCTGAGCCTCGGGATGCCTTATCTATGGTCCTTATACATCCGCGGTGCCTTTTTGGAGGGTTTTGAAGTTTTGTATAGTAAGTGAAGTGCTTTAGGCCTTGGTGCTTGACTATGTAAGAGCCCTGTCAGTAAGGATCCAAGTACTTGGAGCTTATACTACACTGCCTTATGTTCTGAAACTTCACACGTGTGGGGTGCAGCAAGGATTCTAGCACGTGGGTTCTCTGAGACACACAGTCCCGGATCCTGAGGTGCAAGCAGAGCAAATTGACGTGGTGGGCTTGGTGCCGGATCAGCTGAGGCTCTTAGCGCAGGACTGTTCGCCTCCACCCTCATGACCTTGTGCCGCTTCTTTTGCTTTGGGGTCTGCTGGGTGACAACCCTCGCCGCACCCGCCAGGATCCGAAGAAGCAGCTGCTTGACTGAAGCTCGTGTCCACATGGAGTAGGTTTTTTTTGCCGGGGAATTTGGTATGTGTACATTGGTGACTGGGTGCTACTTTTTTCATCTTATTTTCGTCAGTTGGTTCCGATGGTCTGGCTCATCCACGCCAGTCTTACCGACAGGACCCGCAGCTGCACAGCACACTGCATGCCTCCGCAGAGCTTCTATGGAGTTTCTATGGGGATCCCCAGCAGCTAGTACCACTACTGCTGGGTGGAATACACTGCAACCCCCGAAGCTAGAGCCTATTCATTCAGGCTTTTTGGATATTCGGCAGATGATGAGACGAATTGCGAACACTGCATTCAGTAGCCAAAAACATTGCTTTGGAGACACTTTGGAGGTAACGTAGGGATTTAAATTAAGCCATTTCCAACATTGCGCCTGAGACTCCCAGATCCTACACTAAATCGTGAAGCCCCTAACGTACTGCCGGTCCGAAGGTGTCGCTCGATGTGATTGCGCTGCATGTACTTGCCGTTGTAAGTCAGGACTGCCCGGACGCTGTGTGCATCGGGATACAACGAGAGCTTATCGCGAATAGGGGTTTCGGCTTCGAAAATCGAACGAGTGCTTAGGTCTCGAAATCTCGCAGCCACAGCATCGAGCATCCTCAAACCATTGAGTCTTAGTGGCAGGCTCACAAGAACCGGGGCTGTGGTAATTAGGATCTCGAGTCGAGGGTAGCCTCGAAGAGAAGCCTTGCACTTGAAACAAGCCATTTAGGCTCCCCAACGTGCGCCTCGTGATTGCTTGGGCCGAGCGGCTGCCACCAGCACTGGTGTCTCGATGGGAAAACGTGGGCAGGGTTTCCTTTGGCTTGGCGTGACCCGCGAAGATGGTGGTTTCAAGATCGGTGAGGGGCAGCGCTTGGGTGGACAACGGCACCATCAATCTTTGAAGGGTTAGGTAGGGCTTCGAAGCTCGAGAGTTGCAGAGTCTCGTGGCTCGCTTAAGGCCGATCGCTGGCGCGGCCATCCGGCGAAATTCATCGAGCTGCTGATAGCCACAGAGACAGCCAGCTGCATTTGTTCCAAGGGCGCCACGATACAAAGACTGGAGACCCTCAAGCCGAAATCATGCTTCACTGTGTCGCAGCTAGAGTTTCACCGCATGCAACGTCCCAGGTATTGGCTGTCCTTCTACGGCCATCCGCTGCAGACCAAAGGAGAAGATCGCCACTCGATACTTTTGAGTTCTGGGCTCATTTGCACAGGCCCGAGCCCAACAAGGCTCGTTATGCCTTTGCGTGCCTTTCAGGCTTTCGTTTAACTGAAAAGCTTTTGATGTCTGGGTCGCCGTAGGTCAGGATTTAAGACAGATCAGAGATGGACAATGTATGCGTAGTATAGAAGCTTCAGAATCAGAAGGCTTGACCTTGACCTGGAAAAGGCCCGTGCAGAGCCTTGAGGAACCGCGAATTTGCAAAATGCATATCGGTGCTCGCGGTGGCTTTGGGTTTGGCTTGCAAGTTGCGCAGGCTTTGTAGCTACTTCAGGTCCATAAGTGCAAGGACAGGCTTTCCATCCGACAATCCACTTCAAGCTGAAGTCTTGACCCCCAACCACACTTGCCAGAAAAATCGCCCATGTAGACACCATCGGAGCCAGCGGAGATGTATGCAGGTCTAATCGCCGCTGCATCACGCATGCCGATTCATAGCAGAGCAGACCGGAAGCAGCAAATTCGGATCGGCACCTGAACTTGAAATTAGGAGTAAGGGTAGATGAAACGGGCTGTTTACTTGGCACTGGAAAGCTTTCGGGGGTGTCGGAATTCGAAAACCGCCAAGCCCTGCTAAACACCGAGGAGCTGAACCCTCAAGCTGAAAGCCTAAGGAACTGGCACGCTGCTGCAGCCAGTGGGGTCGACTGTGAAGTTTGCAGTCCTTGACGATTCGAAGCTCAGCCAAGACTTGCTTGGGTGTGCGGGTGGTCAGTGCGATACCTTGGTCGCCTTTTTGGGGGTTGTCTGTGCGCTTCAAAAGCTCTGGGCCCTGGACAGGGAAGTAGAGAAGCTTATCTCCAGTTGATGGCTTCTGTGAAGGTTGCGCCTGCTAAACACCCAGCTGGGCCAACAACTTCTTCTCAGTTTCAGGACAGACATAAACAGTAGAACCCTGAACCGTGACTAGAACGGGTGGGAAGGAGCTCAGGTCATAATTACACAACCTTCCTAGTTCGCCCAAGGCCTCCTGGATACCTTTTCAGCTTGAGCAAAGAGCTGTGGTGCAGGATTCTGATCGTCTCGTGGGTGGAGTGGGTGTGTACACATGAGACGTTTGCGATCTTCGGAGACATTGCTGGCTCCACTGAAAGACTTGGGTGGATGGGTGGGGGTGGGTGGCTGGCTGGGTGGCTGGGTAGGCAATGTCGAGGTCTCCATACTTGGCTGATATTCACTTAAAGTGAGACGTATACTGTATAGTATGCCCCAATGCCCTATTCTGAGTATGACCCTGGATCCGTTGAGGAGGTTTCTGGAAGGAGTTTCAGAAAATGAGGCACTTTAACATGGGCCCCTATATGATACCATATGCAAGTTAGCTTGAAACCCGAGGATAAGGTCTTTCAGGGATTTGTTTGGACACGCTGGGATGGGCACCCTAATGTCAAGAATCCTTATTCTCAGGGCCGTTTCAACCGTATCAGGCCCAAGGAGACATTTATTTGCAGAGACGAGATGCACTGTACAAGACTAGTATACAACTCTAAGGAGTTCTTATTGTTACAAAGTTTTCGTAACCGAGCCGATAAGCTCCCAAGGCTCACTCCGGTTGCAGCTGGACAGGCCATTGTTTCTCACAGATTTTGGGTTGGGTATGTGGTGGGTGTTGTTTTGTTGATGTTTGCATGGCTGCGTGATGTGTTCCTGTGGTGCAGCTCGCCATTCCTGAGCTCGTATTGAAGCGACTGGGCGAGGCTGATGCTGCTTCGTTTGCTACTAGGACCGGTTTGGGCACCTCAGTTGCCACCCTAAACCAAACTTCCCATGCCTGCTTAGAGCACCCCCTCGCTGGAGCGTGTTCCGGACTCTGCGTCTTCGTAACCCACAGCTCCCAGAGTGAGTCAAAGTCTCGGCATGTCATGACGATCTCGTAGATCGTCGCTGCAGAATCGTAAGGGACATTTTGGGATGATAGCTACTCCACTACTCAAGCCTCCCACATTGAGACTCCGTACATCTTCTTTCCGGAGGTTGTCCTATTCACAAGTTGATCTCATGGGCCCAGCACCTCACAGTTTACACATTCTTCCGACCCCTATATTGCAACCCAGCTGGACTGTCAGCGGGCAATAACCTAGGTTGAGACATAGGCAGATCTTGTTGACGAGTTTCAGAGCCATCGCTACTTGAACCACAGCGACCCTCATAGAAGCACAAGACCACCTTGAAGCTGAACCCAAAAATCTTATGAGTACTTTTTACGGAACTTTACGACTCAAACATGTGCGGGAGGTCGGAGAGCTCTACCTTCATGGGCCCATGCTTTGTGCCGGTATCTTGGCCAGCAGAGAGAGCCTAGGACGAGGACAGTCGGTGGCAGGTCTGCAGCCCGGATCCAGGGAAGTTGGGAGGTAGTGGTCTACGAAAGATCGAGTGTTACGCGTTGGTGGCCATGGCTGCCTCACAGTCAGGGGGCCTCTAGTGCAGAATACTTGACATTAACGGCCGCAGCCCGCACAGCCCAAACCACTCCGACGCTGCAGGCTATGTCGATGCAGGTGACACAGACGGCCAGTTTCTGATGCTGCGAGGTCGCCGCGCCTTTGCAAGACTAGCTTGCTCGCTCATTCCTCCGAGGGTTTGAAGGCCAGAGCTTTCGACCGCCCAGGAGTTGCTTTGCATGTTGTCCTCGGGAACCCTTCGGTTCTGGCTTGAAGAGAAAGCAAAGCGTCACGTCGGTACAGCGAGGTCCAGGTGGAGTCAGGGCAGGGAGCTCTGGTCCACGACAAGTGGGTCTGGGACCATGGGACACCGTCTGGGCGTTCGTTTCGGCACGACTCCTCCTGCCCGCTTTCTGCCCTTTTGTGAAGCTTGTTTTCCGCGACATTCTGTCTCTCTCTCTCTCTCTCAATCGTTCTCTGTCGGGAACATGTAGCGAAGTGCAGAAGGGAGCTTCTTTATCAGGTCTGTTGTCCGGCGAAGCCAAGGATACTTCAAAACTCGAGACTTGGTTCGCCTGATGCCGGGAGGCGTGGGAGAAAGCATGGATGCCAAGTCTTCGAGTCTTTGTGGATCAGCAGTCTGGGGTTCATCGTCGATCCATCAGTGGGGTCCGAGGCCTGTCATGTGAAACAGGCTCCGAGCTTGGGACCTGAGACCCTTCGCCGCTGCCGTGCGCAGGAGGCTTTGTTTATCACTCCCGGGCCGACCGGCATGCCAAGCTCCGAGGAGGGGCCCGGCAGGGAGCCTTCAAGCAAAACGAGTCAATAATGTTCCGGCTGCCATCAAGACAGTTTCACACAGCGAACGTTGGTGCAGAGCAGCTGAGCAGTCACGACAGGACAGTGGGTGGACCTGGCAGCCTTGGAACAGAACCTGCAAGACACTGAAGCTTGCCCTGAGCTGCCTTGGTTTGCAGATTCGAGGCTTCTTTTCTTGGGTGATGCACGAGTGTCAAGGTGTGCCGTTGCAGTGTTGCAGTGCACTCGCAACCCCTTCCATCCCCAGAGATGCCTGGAAGACTTTGAGATCAGGAGGGTGTCCAGGAGGCTTTCGTGCTGGAGGATGCATCGGGTGGTTTCAGAATAGGGATCCGTGGCGTGCAGGAGCACTTCGGAGTCTTCGAGAAATCCATGCATGGCCTCAAAAATGCGGTGGTCTAGCATCTGACTTCCGCTTGAGAATATGGCAACTGCTGCATGTCATTGGTGGGCCTCGTGTAGCTTGTGCGATCAGACGCAGGACGAATCGGGCGATCTCTTCGCCTTCCTTGCATTGAGTGACAGCTGCGCCTCAGATGATAACAGATTCGGTGCTTGAGGTTCAGGAAGACGGGCAAAGGTGTCGGTTGGTTTCTTCTTCCGCTCCCGAACTCCAACCGCAGCACATGAACGGCAGCTCTCCTGCTCCTGCGGGTGTGCTTGATGCCAACTTGCAAAGTCTCAGAGGCCTTGCTACCACACCTCCACCTAAGCGAAAAACCCCAAAATCTTGTGCCGCGCACACTAAAGGCTGCAGACACTTCAAATACTCTTGTCTTATCTCTCTGCGAAGCACAAAAACTTCGATGAAGTCAACACCATCCCAAATCGACACTCGTCGTGAACCGCAGCCCTGGGGTATCTGCCGATGGGGAGGGAGTAGCTGCTGATCGACGTGAGATGTTCCAAGCAGTGCTAAACAGTCTCTGCATGGCGAGCCGGAATGCCAGAAACTCTTCAGCTCCACCTTGACCTCAACCCCTGATCACTGCAGAAGGCTCTTCAAGGAACCACAATGTGCAGCTTCCCTGGATGTAGGGAAGGGCACAAGCAGCGAGCCCTGAACCCTGAATGCTTTGATACCTAATACCTCCCCAGCTTTAAATCCCCTCAGTTACTATACCCCAACGCCTGACAACTCCTTACAAGCCGAAGCCATTTGTGAGGCCGACGTGCTTCGGGGTTGACAACAGCCTCCAGAGCCGTCAGCCGCCAGGCGTAACAGCTGTCTTAGTGGCAGGCTTTGTCTTTGGTGTATATAGGGGTTTACCAGGCATAGTGAGTGTTTGGAATGTCGGGCAAGGGCTTCGGACTTTAGGGGTTTCGGCTTGGCGTTCAGAGATGTCGGGTCAACGGGTTGTGTATGGTTCTGGATGCAAGTCCTGCCGCGGCAGTTCAGAATAAGTTTTCACCTGAACTTGATCTGTATACCTGAAGTAGGTCTGTGTACCTGCCACATCGCCGAGTTTTCATTGCTCGAATACATCCGGCAGGGCCACATGGTATGCAATAGCTCATGTTCCAGCGTTCCATGTTGAGGTAGCTTTGCTTGCACAACCCACATCTGGGTGTAGCTTACCAACGGGGCTCCGAAAAAGCAATAGACCAACCCACAAACCCCCCAAAATCCAAAGAAAGCCTTCAAGCACCAGAACACCTCAAGTCTCCAAAGCCCGTATTTCCTTTCAACCCAAACCCTGTGACTTGCCGGCAAATCCTGGAACAACATAACCCCACAACCCCGACCCTACTCAAAGCAGTTTCTTGCAGCTCAGCTGGCGCTGAGGCCGGGCCAAAGAGCTGCTTCCCTGGCGCGCGGCCTTGCGCCTTCGATCGGCGCTGCCCAGATCGGCCACTGGCAAACTGGACGGCCAGGAATCTCTGGGATGCAAGAACACTGCGTGTCGTCTTGTTGAGGGGATTCACTTCCATCGCAACCCAGACAACTGAAAAATTTTTCCAAAGCAGATCCTTTTCGTGATTTCAGTGGTGTAGGGTACCAAGTTGAGGGTTCTTCTATTGGAGGAATGGCAGATTGTCCCTTGATTGAAGAGCCTTCGTTAGACTGTAGAGGGGTCTGCACAAGGACCGCTTTGGAGCCTCTGAGACAGCGGAGCAAACGGGTGAGCCAAGACGGCACCGCTCAGCCCATCTTCAGTTCCCTAAAGCAGACTCAGAAACTCATTTTGTTGAAGGCGTCTCCATGTTCTTGTGCGGGATGTTTTGCTTCTTGGAAATATCGAAGGCCCACTCGTTTCTGGACCATCGTTACCTGAGCAAGTCTAAGTCTACGCTCCCCCATGGCCCTACGCAGCAGGCATTACAGCAGGTGGTTGTGGCGGAGAAGCATGCCCAAGAAGTGCTTTGATCTGCAGTAGTCGGGATGGCAGTGGCACTGTGCATCTGGAATTTCAGCCTTCTGCAACATGACCATCGAAGTTTGGTGGGCGCCTGAGTTCCCTGCTGAAAGTCTTAGGCGTCCAGGGTCTGAGGCGTTTTCCGCCCGTTCGTCTTGCAGCGTCCCGCATTGAGGCCAAAGCCATGGCACCACATCTCAGACACCGGCTGAAGGATGCTTCGCTGTTCTGAGTTCCGTCAAGTACTACAGTTAGATGCACAAACTCAAGAGCCGTAGATCCCTTTAATCCCTACATAACTCTTATGTAAACCTTAAACAACATAACCGCCCGAACTTTCACCTCGAACCATCGCCCTTTCTCTGGCTCCTTTGAACTCTTTCCCGGTCTTCCCCCTGACGAGGTCGCACTCTGCTCAAGTAGGCATCTTATGGAGCGACACCAAAGGAATCCTAAATCAAGCGTTCTATCGGCTCTAGCTCTTGGCTGCGCAATTGGCAAGTGCTGAGAACGCACCGTGAGATAGACTGAGAAGCGGGACCTAGTTTTAGACTCTTCACGTCGTCCGCCTCGGCCCGGCTGTGCTTGAAGCAGGTGTAAAGTGAAAAGAAAGCAAAAAATCTAAGGAAACAAGAACGGCAGAAAACGGTGGAGGGCGGAGTACCGGAGAAAGGGGATAAGGAGGGGAGCGGGGCAGGCGCAGACACACGCACGTGCCGAACTGACTGGAGCTGGTTGTCTAACGCGAAAGTTGCCTTGCCGAAGAATTTTTGCGAGAACCTTCAGGCGCAGAAACCTTGCAGTCTCAGTGTGCAGCGGATGTCTTCTGCATAAAATGCGCGGTTGTCTGGAGCAACGGGTGAGGAAGGGAGAGGGGAGGGGTGGGGGGCCGGACGGGAAAAGGTAATCGAAACTGCCACAGAGCGAGTCTTTATTGGAGGAAACGAAATTTCATCGTAAAACCTTGGAACCGGGGAGTCAGGCCGGGAGGTTTGGGCAGTATAGGAACCTCCGACCGATTCGGATGGGGCCGAGGCCAATGACCACGGGCCATTCTACAGCCCCGACAGGCCAGAGCAGAAATTCCAGCAATCAAAACCTGACTGATCTAAAATCAACCCTCCATCCAAGTCCCCTATCCCCTAATTTCTTTTCCCATGTCAACTTCCCAGGATGCATGAAATGTTTGCAAGAAGCCCGAAAAGCTTGATAAACACATGGCATAATTGTTCTGCAGACTAGCGTTCCTGTGGTCCGTCATCCAAGTTTTCATGCAAACCCATCCGCGCAGCAAGGATACCTGCCGCAAGCATGTGGCCTGTGCGCTGGCGCTGCTCTTGACAGCTTGTGCTGGGGATGCACTTGCTGCTCGGCAGGGGCTGAAGATAAGTCGGGGTTCGGACTTCGACAAAGCCCAATACCCGTCCGAATCAGAAGCTCTCGGCGCTTTGAGACACACATATATATATATATATATATATATATATATATATATATTCCGCGCATGGTACAAGCTTAAGTTCTCGGAGAGGTCGAATCTCTGCTGCGGCTGACGAGCAGAAGCCGACTCTACGGCTCGAAACCTTCCCGGTCGCTCGGTTCGACTGGCTGCAAGAAACTGCCTTTTGTCCCGAGTGCTCTTTTAAAGTGAAGGCAACAAAAAAAGAGCCTTTAAACTTTATAAGGCCCTACACGATGAACTCACGAATCTCGCGTTTTGCGCGAAAGCCCGGGCTGCCAAGGCCCAGTGCCTTTGGTTTGCTGAGCGCGGCCTATTCCTGGCTGGCCATGGCGCAGCTTTACCACTGGGGCCTGAAGCCACAGGCTACACAGATGACTGCAAATTCGAATCAGTGTGAGACGGCGGCATTTCTGCTGCACCAGATGTCCCAGACGCTCATCGATATCCTTTGTCGCTGCGCAGGCCTTTGTGGATTCTCTGCCCATCTCAAGGCCGGGGACAACAAACAGCTCCGTGCGTACTTGTCCAGCGATTTGAGTATAGGGGTTTATTGTGACGCCAGGGTTTGCGGTTTATTGTTTAGAGTTTTAGTTTGCCAATCCCAAGCATGTCCACAAACACAGGAAGAGGAACCCGATGCGATATAAGACATAGGAAGATCCCGAAGCTTTGGAGGCGCTTGCCTAAACGCCAAAAACGAAGAACTAAATTTCTGCCATGTGTGGTGTCGAGCCTCCCCCAGGCCGATTTCGCGAGGGCACCAGGCTCGAAGAGTCACCTGAAGAGCCCTGACGAGCTTCTCTCATTGCCTCAAGCGCCCACTTCATCCAAATGTCGATGGGCGAACTCCTGAATTATCCACAATCACGAACAGAGCAGAGTATTCTGTAGTGTAGGGTACTTCAGGCAATGCAGGACTTCTCCTGTCAACCGTAACACCTGGAGGATGGGTTCACTTTTCCTGCTCCACCTGGCTCCTGCCCGGCGCATGAGAGGATTGCCACACGGCGCAAATCCGTAGATCAGAGGCAGCAAGCTATATGGTTTACCCCTCAGGCTGCGCGTGCATCTGCATCGACGAGCACGATGATCAAAACTTCTGAACTTGCTTTCGTGTTATCGGACCTGGACGAGTCCGGGGATTTGCATCAAGCACACAAATCAGTTTGTTCTGCCATCCTCGTTCACGGCGCTATGTGCCCATACATCCTGTTCTCTACATCGTGGTTATTGTAGATGAAGATTGTATCAAAAGATCAGAATGCCCACTGCAACCACCTATGTGTCGGAGGACGTTTGGAGTGCCCTGAGCCTTCACCGGCAGTCGCCACAATAAATATTTGCAACCCCATTTATGCTAAGTTAGTCCCTGATCCTCCAAGAAGCCAAAGCAGCACTCTTGAGGCTTACCGCCCTGGGTGCCATCGTCGCAGGGCGCCGGCGGCTGTTCGCGTGGCCGCTGGTGCGCCGAAGTCTACCTTGAAGGGATGTGCTGTAGGGGAGACCTGAAGATCAACCGGCAGGTGTTTTGGCTGGGCTGCGGCGCCCAGCTCGACTTCGAGGAGAGGGCAGAACAAGGGTCAAAAAACCTTGCCGTCGATCTAACGATCGCAAGACACATATCTCTTTGCTTCAGTCGATCGGAGAAGATGCCCAAAACCTCTGGGTGCACCTGCCCCTACAGGCCGAGCGCAGCTTGCGCCATGGCTGCGTGGCTGCCTGCACCAGGACGGAGTTACAAATCTGACCCATACGGGTGGTGCTCTGCAGTTCTGTCGACCTCTATTCGTAGAATCCTTTCAGATCCGAGACCCGGCAGGCTGGCCTCGGGCCTCATGGATTCCCTAGACGAGGCGCGGAGCCCGTTCTCGGCATGTTTCGGCGCTCTGCGAGTATTGGGTGTGGACGGATCACACCGTTCCGTAGTACGTAGTCTTGGTTTGCCTTACTGCCGATCCCGAATCCCGCCCAAAGGCTGTCAAACAGCTGTGCTCGCGGATGTGGTCAGCACTCTTTCCCAAAGGCGGGAGATGAGAGATGAATGCCCTCCAGAACTGGGTTTGAAGGCCGCAGCTTTCAGCTTTCGGTCTTCGTCGTCTCAACTTGGGCATGGGCTTTTTGGCGTCGCTGAGCGGTCTTGAGACGACGTTGGGGCTGAGAAGGTAGAATCAGGGTCCGAAGAATCGCAGCAGAACCCTTCAAAATCGGGTCCTGATTGTTCAACTTGTGCATCAGATTGTGACCAACGCGCGACTTGGGTGGAAGGAGCTCCCAAATCAGCTTTCCTCAGAATATCGAAAGCTGATCTCGACTTGTGTGTTGGCATTGACTTTTAGAAGAACGGGTCTGATCGTTCATCCGTACTATTCTTCCTAAGGGTTACCTAGTTTAAACTTATATCCGTGAACCTCGATTGCAATTCTCATGCTCCGTTCCAAGCCGGCAGGTTGCAAGGTCTATATAGGCATGCCCTCAGAGCCTCGTCGCACAGCCAGGTTTTCCCTGACGCCCTTGTTGGAGTCCGTCACTGTTTGAAGTGGGTAAGTGGATACAGGGTACCCTATTCTACATGCAGGGGATACATGGGGAACTTAGAAAGGCTTTCGGACACGCCGGCGCTTCTGGCCGCGAGTGGCGCGAGAGACCCGGGACACCGGGAGCCAATGGGAAGAGCAACTCGAAATACATGTTCCGAACAGGGTCGAGGGCTTCAGACAGACGCCTTTCAGGCTTAAGTTCTTCTATGGGCTTCCGGGCTTCGATGCCAATCAGGATTGCGTGAGCATGTCAATGTGTCCGGACAAGAGCCTTCCACAACGGGCGCACTCGACTTACATCGACATATCCACGTGCATCTTTCTGGGGCTCCACCGCTGCCTGGTACCTACAGCCTGGTTTTCAGCAGAAACGCAAGGCCTCCCCTCCGCCTTAAGACTCCGAAACGTGCAGTGCGGGGTTTCGGTCACGGGCCTATAGCATTGAACAAGTGCGCAAGGCCAGCCCTTCGTGTGCTTGCGAGGTATCCGCAGGAGGAGCAGCAGATCCTGGACTACGCTTCTTGCCACGAATTTTCGACGACCTTGATCACAACAAGCTGAAGCCTCACTGAGGATCGTTGGGTCGTCTCCCAACTCTCGGCAGTGGACGAGGATCCGGGAAAGGAGGACCTGCTATGAAATTTGATGTTGCGAAGCGGATGAAGCGGGAGTTCCGATGCATTGCGGGTCCAGCGCCAGATACGGGATGAGTGGTGAGGCACAGCAATTGAAGCGAACAGGATGGAGATTCTGTGGAGCCGTTGATGGAAGCATTGGGGGCTCAGGATAGAAGTACTTGGCCCGAGAGGCACAGCAGCGCTTGGTGCCCTGACCTGCATTTCATCGCTCGCTTCGCTTCGGGTCACATCTGATGGCTGCCCAATGCTGCCCAGCAGTTCTTCAAACATGTCAAGAGGACCCTGTGGCCGCACATGCTCAACACCCTGACTCTCAGAGAAAGTGTTATTTTGGTTCCTACCATGCGCCCCTTGGTCTGTAGTATAGGGCACCAAGTTGCGGGTCGTCGTAAACAACTCCGAATCCGAGAGACCGCGCTGACGTCTAAGGGACTCGGCTTCGACAAAAGGTGTGGACGTGATCTTCTCGAAGTCTGCCTGCGATACTCATCTGTATAAGCCTGGAAGCTTCCTCCACTATCTGAATGAGTGCTAGGGTTTGTGTTGTGATTCTTCTTGTCGGTACATGCATGCCTAAGTTTATATCATGTCTGATAACGGCGCACTGTTGGTGCGTCACGCAGCCCGACATTGAAGATTCTGGATGGTTATGATAGGGCTGGTCTGCAAGAAGATGGTGCAAGCTGTAAGGTGTGAGCCTTACCACATAGGGGTTAAAGGGGGAGCGGCACATTGTGGATTCATGTTTGAGATGCACTAGAGGCAATGTGTACAGATTATTCAGACCTCCACGTTGAACGTCATTGCTTTGGAAGCACTGTGCAATCTCTGCCCCAGACCCTACAGCGCTGACCCTAGACCCCCAAATTCAAAGCCTTGAAATTCCTAAGCCCTAAGTCCACTAAAGTCCGAAAGCCTTAACCCCTTTGCCATTGATTTGCTTAGGACTGGGCTTTAGAGACCTTTGGAACTGGCTCAGAAGCTTCTGCAGCCGCCACAGAGCCGGAGTTGCCGTGGCCCGGAACCAGATGAGCTTGGCCTTCGGGGTTTTGACTGACGGTTGGGTGCTTCGTGCTTCGTTTAGAGACCGACACAGGGCCCAAGTGCACAGAACTACCCCGTTGGCTGTCCACAGATTGAACTCTAAACCCCCAAGAGTACTCGATTTCGGTGTATGCCTACATGGGTAAGGCTTGAGACCCGCCTTGGAGAAGGGGCCGCCGCACTTGTTGAAAAAGTTTGTCCCTAACTTAACCAATAAGTCCGAAACCTAAAACATGGGCACCAAGTCAATGAAGGAAGCACCTGCTTAGTTACATCCATGGACCAAGCATGTAACGTCCACCCAGATCTCACCCATTCTCATCCGTTTGCGCAGGGCAGCAATGTGCCAATATTATGAGCAGAGCATCTGCAGCATCTGTCTGTGGCCAACCCGCCAGTTCCGAAGACGAAATGCTCAAAACCCCATCGAAAAGCACGCCGCAGGCATTTAGTCTCCAGATTTTTACAAGGGCCATATTGGGAATTCGAAAATCCATCCTTTCAAAAAGCGTCACGTCCTTCAAAGACGCAGGGTTGTGAATCAGGGTCTACATACTGCAGACGCCTGATTCATCAACTTGCGGAGCCCCACATCAGTTGTCACCGAGGCCGCTCGACCGTCGCGTTGTGGACTTGGTTCGGTGACTCGGATCAACGCCACGGCATGCAATACTTTGACAGTCCATAAACCCTACACAGACTCGGAATCTTGAAAGGTTTGAGTTTTTGCTCCCGTCCCCGCGATCTAGTGATCAGCTGATCACCCTACATGCTGATGAAGGCTATGCAAAAGTCCGGCAATGTCTGCCCAGGCTCATAGGCTCCATGCGAGAGCTTGATTGGTTCAGGGTTTGGGGTGTGAGACGTAGCCATAGCGCAAACCCATCGCTCTCCATCGAGGCAAGTCATGCCCTCGGCCGGCGATCTCGAGTCGCCCCTCAAAGGCCTCGATAGCCTGCGCGCAAGCCGGCGGCAGTCACGAGTGAACTCAGGGAAGCGCTGGCATGGGCCCGAAACCCTGAACCTTCAAACCTTACAGCTCCAATGACGCCTTCAACCCTGGCTCTGATCCCATAAACCCAATGCGGAGCTCTGAGCGCTGCATAGTCAGAAAAGAGGAGACCCCAAAGACACCCCTAAACCCTTCACAGGCCCTTTTGTTTCTCGCGGCTCGGCCTCCACCGCCTCAGGCTGGCTGGCTCGCCGGCTCCTTGCAGAGCCTCGGCCGGGCCGTGAGCAGCGAGGCGGTGCCTTCACGGCAGCTTGAGAAAGCCTCCTCGAGTTCCCTCTAGAGGACCTAGGAGTTTGAGGAGGGGTTGGCTTTTGGCTTGTGAGAAAGCGGTCCGGGATTGCAGCATGTCGTGAGGGAGCTATGGATGTTTCGAGGTTAGCATTGGTTGTTCCAGGGGTTGGCTTACGGGCTAAAAACTCTCCTCTAGTTCTCAGATCGGCTCCAGTGGGGCCTTTTCGAACTTGAGTCGCAAGCTTATGAGAAGCAACTTATTACCGATGCGCAACCCTTGAACTTTTCGACTTCTGCCAAGTTTGCATTGGTTCCCTGAGTTTGCAGGGGAGCAATGCACCGAAAGTCCTTAAGACCGAGGTCCGACGTGCAACGAACCTCAAGAGCCTGGTTCGCATAGTGAAGGCCCGCTGTAGCCTTCTGATGCTTTTGAGCTGTTGGAGCTATTCTTCCCAGCACGTGGTGGAGAACATCTTGCTCGCAGAAAGTTGTTCTGGGCAAGGCTGGGCCTTGATACGCATCCTTTCTCAAGGCTGCGCCCGCTACACCGAAAGTTACGCCAGCGGAAGCAGCTGAGCTGCTCGGGTAGCAATGCGCGGCTTGCTCAACTGCATCAACAGCTTTAGTTTCTCTGTCCCTCAGTAGTGTCCGGGACTCTGATCGGAACCCTGGTCGGAGCCATCGGACCCTTCCCTAAACGGCCTCCTAATCGGCACCCCAGTCGGAACCGTTTCTGGAATCCCAATCGAATCCTTCGTCGGAAGGCCTTCATCCTTGGAATAAGCTTGCGGGGTAAAATGTACATCATCAAGCACTGTAGTAATTATAGGTTGTGTGATATGTGTTATGAAAAACTTATACTACTTGATATAGTTTTTGCATATATACATATATGTGTGTATACAGAAAGCGAGAACTATGGGCGATAGGTTTTCGTGCTTCAGAACTACGGAAAGCGAGAACTAGGGGCGATAGATTTTCGTGCTTCAGAACTGCGCCATTAGGTGGGCACAGCTGGAAGTTGGAGCTACGCCTATAGCACGGCTCACCTGCAATACTACTACTACCTACTACTACTACTACTACTACTACTACTACTACTACTACTACTACTACTACTACTACTACTACTACTACTACTACTACTACTACTACTACTACTACTACTACTACTACTACTACTACTACTACTACTACTACTTCTGCTACTACTACTACTACTACTACGACTACTACTACTACTACTACTACTACTACTACTACTACTACTACTACTACTACTACTACTACTACTACTACTTCCTGCAAGAGGCTGAGAAAATGTGGTCCAACTTCCGGCCAGCCACAGGCATCGCCGAAGTGGACGGCCAGGAGAAGGTCGCACCTGCACACGTTGAAACGCCACGGAGGATCGGAGAACAAGCTGCTGAACAAATGATGGTTCTGGCAGCGGATCCTCACACGGGTCTGATTGTTGCCGAGCACGAGCTCGGTCAGGCTGACAACAATACTAAACGTTAACATCAGTTAACTAACGTCACATTGAATGTGCTTCATCTAATCTCGTCTCGCGCACCCAATGGAAGATTGTGTTGCAGATGACCGGGCTTGTCGATGTGCGCGATGTGCCGCCAGCAGGACATGCGAGCAAAGCACGCCAAGCATTGGTGCATACGCCGTTTCCATGCCAAAGGTCGTGCCGGTGTCCTTCGTTGACTTTAACCTCGCCGCCTCGCCAAGTTTTCGGCGTGAACACCTTTCCATCGCGAGAAAACCTGTGGTTTCGTGAATAGTAGACCCCATGTGTTCTTCGTGTTGCGGCTTGCTCGGAGACATAAGAAATCTAGCATGGTGATATCAGCAGCCCTCAATTCCCTTCACCGGTGGGACTCAACACTTCCTCGAACGTCTTGACAAAGCGATCCGAGCATTCTTCGCATGAAGTCCGTGAGTCGATAACACTCTGACAAGTCATTTTGGTCTCAGTTCACTCTGTGTATATTTGTGTGGTTTCTTGTTTTTTGTTCGCTTCCGTCTGTCAAGTTAACTACAACAAGGATTGGTGAGCTTGGCATACACCCGCCCACAGCATCCACGTCGGAGGCATGACAGACAACGACATGAGATATGTGGCGTGCTCTCTGCACGATTTGCAATTCGTGGTTCAATACCGCTGACACGCTGCAGGGTCTCGAGCAAAGAACCTTCTTGTCACCCTTGTCTGTGTGATGCCTGCATCGCGTCCTGCTTTGTAGATGCAAGCAACGACGTGTCGAAGAGTCTAAGTTCGCCTATCTTGTGTCTTCCCATGCCGTGACCTCAGTGCCATGCCCGGGGTTGGCTGCAACCGTTCGCGTTGCGTAGATACAGATACAGGTATATGCACACACCTTTACGTTTACTATCTCGCGAGAGCGGCTTATGAGGGATGTGTCTACAAGTATTCCGACATCGACTCTAGGCCATCGTTTGCTCTTCCGATGCCTCGCGCCGAGGTATGCGATTTGGTTCACACCGGGCCAGTTTCAACCAATGCGCCTCGGACCCACGAGTTCTAAGCCGCTGACGGCAGAAGACCTCTAATTCCTCGTAGCAACCTCTACCTTTTCTTGGGGTGGCACATCGCTTGCACTCCACTCCATGTTTTGCATGGCAAACAGCAGGTCAACCCCGATCGCACCCCGTCGCAACACGGACAGGAACTGAATCCCAAAGACGAGACTTCCCGCCCCGAAACTCCAGCTCTGCCCTGACCCGGACCCCGGACCCCCCAACGACCCCAGGAGTCCGTGGCTGACGCGTGCCGAGTCGCCGGCGGATGTGCCAGCGATGCGCCTAGCAGTGGAGGTCGAGCCGAAAAGGTTTGAAAGGGGGCTCACAGACAGGCTTTCCTCAAAAGCCTTTGTGGCAGGCTTTGCTGGAACGACATCCATCACTGCGAGCAGCCGCTTGGACCAGTTCGAGAGGTAATTGGAAGCCCTGAAGCCTGAACCCCTTGGAACCCCCGGTCGATGCAGCGAAGGCCAGCATCGACCCGATGGCCTTGCGCGGCTTCGTGCTCCTTGGCAAGGCAGAGGTGTCCTCTTGCCTCCTGCAGGTGAAACTGAACTGCATCCCAAGCTTTGAGCATTGTGAACTTCGCAATCCTGAAGAAGCTCTGCTGATCCTCATTGAATGACACCAGAACTCATTTTTTGTAGGGCTCCTACCTAAAACCTGTCGGGTCAAAGATATATGAAAGAGATGAACGTTCGACAAACGCTAAGGTAGAATTGCCTTCCCCAGGCTTAGCTGCGCCTCCCTCTTCGCCGCGATCTTGGGACCAAAGACACCTGCAAGGCATGCCAGGGAGGGTAACATGTGCTGTGCCTCGGTCGCGGTGGTGGGGACTTTAACGTTGATTTTAAGACTTCAGCCGCTTCAGGCTTCAGTCTTGACTCAGCCCAGCGTATAATGCCATGGAGCCGTCATTGAAACCACAATCGCAAATCAGGCCTGTCACAAAGGTTCAAGGGTTGTCTATGCTGTCATACCTTACAGCCCGAACTCCGAACTCTTCCGCAAGGGCCAGAGATCCTTTTAAGAATCTCATCTTTCTTCCCAGCACAAGCGCGTTTGGAAGTCCCAAGACTTCCCTTTGCAGCCTCCGATCGGCCATCGGTGCTTTGCTTCTCCGCTGTTGGCCACGGGTGGCAGTCGGTGTGCCCGAGGCCCAGAAGCGGTTTCGGTCAGATTCGGGGGCTGTAATATTCATTTACAGTTTTTGGTTTCGCAGTGGATGTACGGTATAGCGGTAAAACTCTCCCTGAAGCCGTAGTCCAGGCAGTCACTCAGGCTTCTGTGCCCTGAGTCCGCAATTTACTCATGGTTGGTGTCACATGTCCAGAGTCCAGGATCAGAATTCCGAAGCTGTACGTCCGGGGGATTGGAGGGTCCTCGTGGCATGCGTCGTTTCAGGATGGTTAGGATTTGGTCCTGGACTTGCGGCAGAGCTGCGCACCAGAATCAGCGCATCTCAGACCTTATAAATCTTAAACTGGAGCCGAGCAGCTCGAGTGCCTGCGTGCCGAGGCCCCATGTTGAGTCCAGCACAGACACAACGGTCCCCTTCTCGGTCCTGGAGTTCACAGGCCACCCGCGCAAGTCAGGGTCGAAGGTTTGAAAACTAATCGCTCTAGTTCCGGTCCTTGGCCGGAAATTTCGGTGTGCCATCGATGGGTCTCAGATGGCATAGCTTTGTGGACCAGCTGTCAAGGTCCAAAGCCCCCAAGTTAAAAACAACTTCCAAAGAAAGCGGAGCCTGATGTCTTGAATTCGAATCCAAGCCCGAACGATTCTTGCACAGTTCGACCCGCACGCTCCGACAATCCTTCCCAGCCTTCCAGGGCAAAGTGACCTGGAGAAGCACTTGCAGAGCCGAGGCCTGCAAATCTCTGGGCGAAGCACGTAGAAGAGCCAGGCTTGATCAGGAGGCCGAAGTTTTACTTCCTTCAGTAGCTTGCGAGCTCCTTCATGAAGCCTTCTTGCAGTAGACCTTTTCCGTGGGTGAGTTGGAGGATGGGCAAGGCGTCAATTTATGGAAGGACTCCAAACGTTTACGCTTGTTCTGCTAGCGAATGGCAGCCGACCTAGTACCGAGCAGGTAGCAGCGGTATTTATGCCCGGAATACACTGTATCGCACCTTATCTCCTTCTCGCCAATGGTTATACCGGCCCTATCTAAGCTCGCCTCGCAACGCGCCGTGCCGAGGCTGGCATTTGACCAAGCCGCCGCTCCCTGGATTCAATTTCAGACGAAGTTTCAGGTGTTCCGCTAGCGAGCACAGGGTTTTCGGCTTGGACGAAGAAGTTTACGAGAGCTCAGATTTGCGAAGGTTCGAAGTGACGCTTCTCCAGCTGAATGTCGCGCTCGAGGGGGTATGGGACTGCCAAGGCGGTCGCAGCACCCGGCACGGGCTGAGAAAGTTCCACCTAGACGCTCGAGTGTAGTGTAGTCCTTTGCGAGCTCCGAATCGGGTCAGGTACTAGTACGCCCGTTTCGCCAAGTTGTGGCCTGGAAACACTTGGATGGCATACAAGATAAAGTGAACTTGCACTACAGTCTTGTGGAAGGCACGAATGTCGATGCTCATCGATTGCCAGCAGAAACCGTCAAGCTCCCCACTCAGCTTGCTCCGAGCAGGTGGACATATCTCTATCGTTCGGGTGGATGGAGATTTGGATCCCTGACTGCAGTCGGAGAGCCCTTCAGCATGGCAAACCTTTGGGGTGGAGATGCCTCCTGTGTTTCTTCTGGGGGACAGGAACAAGACTAACAAGACTAACAGAGCAGATACCAGAAGGTCACAGCTGAAGAGGAGTCTCTTTTTGCCCATTGGGTTTGGGAGCAAATTGGGTTTGAGGGTACGGCAGCAAATTGGGTTTGAGGGTACGGCAGCATCAGAGTGTTGTGCCGCGAAGTGGAACTGCGATGCCGCTTGGGAGACGACAGATACTTCCGTCATTGCTTCCAGGTGCTCACCCAACCCCTAGGTCCCCGCAAATCTTCAGCGTCCAGGTCTATGTGGATTCGCAGCGCTGGCAGGCCACAGAGAAGCCAGCCATTTCGCATGAAGGGAATGCTGGAAGAATCCTCAAGCCAAGCTACGAGCAGCTCCGAATGCAGTTTCCGTTGCTCGAGAATTATCCACTAGCAGCCAAAGCTGTTCTTATGTTCCTTCCGCTTCTTGCTATCCTCCTTCTTCTTACCATGCAAGCAATTCCCAAGAGCAAGGCCCATCATTATGCCAGTACGACTAGTTTGAACTGTTTTCTGTTAGCTGTTCCTGTCACTATCCTGCAAAACAGAACCTCAAAACTCTAAGCCCGAAATAGCGCAAAACGCAGTCCTAGACCCGAAACCCAAGCCTTGGTTCTTGTGTTTGTTCGAGGCCGCGGTGCTCCGTGCACCCGAGGATCCCCGAAGTCCGCCACCGCCGGTCATGCGACCAAACTGCAGACTGTGCTGGTGGTGTTGGTGCTGCTGAGGGCTAGTGATAGGTTCTTGGTGGCAGTAGCAACAGCAATTACTGCTACTGCTACTTAATCCTACGATACTACTACCACTACTACTGCTACTACTACTACTACTACTCCTACTCCTATACTCCTACTCCTACTACTGCTACTGCTACACTTCCAAGCAGCCACAGTCTAAAGAATCTGAAAGCCGTAAGTACGTCACTAAGCCTCAGCCCTTGAAGCCTGAAACTTCCTGAACCATCCCTGAACCCCAAAAGATCGCAAAAACACTTGAACGCTTCAAACCCTACCCCGCTGCTCTTGCCAAGGAGTCGTCCGCTGCTGGCCGGACGTTTGGGCAGTGCCGCAGAGCCGTGGCAGCTTTTGGCTTTTTCTGGTGTGAGCAGTGAGCGGTGACGGGGGCGTGGTTCTTGAGATTGGAGGGCTCAAGAGCTACATGTACAGGACTGTAGGAAGGTGTGAATTCTGAAGCTTCGGGTGCCCTACCGTTTCTCGAAATAGTGTGACAACACTATGCATGGGTTCTGATTTTCGTGAAGTTCGATGGAATTGGTCCGGTATTGGTTAATGCATTCAATTGAGGGCTTCGAGGACGGTCCCGGGATCTACTTAGGCTTTGCTTGCAGTGGCAGAGCATTTCAATGTTTTCGCTTGCTGCTGCGGAGCCCTCCTTGTAGCGTACTTTCAAGCTTGGGGTGGCGCGCACTGTCCTGCAGTCGCTGCTTAAAACCTTCTCTTTTCCACGCTTCACAGCAAGCTCTAGCCCTCCATGAGATGAGATGCTCCCACTCTAGCGCCTTGCTTGACTGTTTTGGAATATGCTCTCGTTCCTTCCGCAGCCCTGCTCGGCCACATCCCCCGAGATGCACGATTCATTGTAAGGGATACCAAGTTGGCCTCAGTGTTGCCTTCGAAATGCGGGATGTTTGACTTCTTGGCAGGGCCACACTACTTGAAGTCTCTGGCTCGTCCATGTCCGTGTGCTCCTCCAGGCATGGCAATGGGCCTCAAATCCTCGCAGGGCCACATACATGAGGCTTTTCGGGCTCGTGTGGACTCCCAATCCCAGCAGTACAACTGAGGGGAACGATATTGAGTGTTGCCTTCCTGCCTGAAGCTTCGTGGTGTTGCGGTGGTTGGCGGTCTTGGTCGTCGTGGTAGTCCTCCTGCTCCTGGTGGTTATGGCTATCGTGGTGGTGGTCGCAGGGATCCTGGTTGTGGTTGCGGTCGTCACGGTCGTCGACAATCATGGTATTTATGAGGGGTGCTTTGATCTCTCAAAGCCGTGGGCTAAAGGGATCAAAGCCTCGCGAGGAAGAAACAGGGTTCAGGCCACGACTTGAGCAAGTCTCAGGGCCTTTGAGATTGGTCACATTCGAATACCAGAAAGAACACGACCATACGTGGAGTTGACTTACGGCATCATTTCTTGCTCTTTGGACGTAGCCAAGGTGTGGTTGCGGGTCGTCGCTCCGGGGGAGATGCAGGTCTGGTGGCAATCCGCGCCCCCGGGCTTAAGACATTACAAAGGACATGGATTCAGCAGAATGTGGGCTAGTAGCGACTCGGGAAACACGATTACAGGGTAGATGCTATTATTTGTATCTCTCATTGCTTCCATCATGCTGCGTCTCTCACGTCGTTGCCGGCTTGTCCCTTCTTCAACACATTGTCCCCCGCTGCTGACAGTTATGTTCAGCCCGCGGCCCTGCATCGGTACTTCGATTGGCAGCGTCGTAGAAGCTTTTTGGGGCTTGGTCGGAGTTCGGAAACATGTACTCAAATCTGGGCCTGGTCTGAGGTATCGGTGTGCCGGGCGCAGATCCGAAACAAAGCCCGGAATTCCCAGAAAGCTCTGTTTGGATCAATCAACAGTTTGATTTAAACTCTTTTCTGTGACGTATGAATGCGCTCTTGGAGCCTTGTCACTAAGCAGCCAATACATCCGAAATCGCATTCCTGAGGTATTCAACGCAGAAAACTCTAATTTTGAACGCTGATTCGCGCGGGCCGGAACTCAATATGATTTGGTTCGGGGCCCCCTTCGCAAAACAGTTTGGGTAATAGTAGTTAGTAGTAACAGTAATGATCGTAATGATAGCACAGCAATATAGCAGTAGCAGTCATAGCAGTTCTAGCCGTGATAGCCGTAATAGCAATGGCAATAGCAAACAACAACAGCAGGCAGTAGTAAGAGGGTCCGTAAGAGTAAGCGCAATAGTAGCAAGAGTAATAGGCCGGAAGCGCTGTACACAACAATGGCTCCCCCGCACCAATGAATCCCAGAAACCCAATAAGGCCGGAGGAATATTCTATCATTTTGTGTCCCCACACTAACCACTAATCATTACTGAACGACGGCTCAGTCAAAGGCACCCACACCAGCACAGCCTGCAGCAGCATGCGGAATTCCCGGATAGCCGAAATCCATCCAGCTATCAAGCGCAGCATTAACCTCACCATCACCTCCGCAGCCTCCGCATGCGAAAACCCATCCCAATCAGAAGCTAGTGAGCCCAAGATGTCCCAGGCCCGGCGTGGAGCCCTTCACTTTCTCGGCCACCAGGTTGCCCTTGCGAGTTCGGAAGTCTAAAGCTGGCAGAAGCCGCGGCTTCAGTGCGGGCTGCACACATCGGCTGCAGATAGGTCGCCTTGTTTGCTCTACCGCAGGATTCCGCAACACTACGACCGTCTGCACACCATCTCCTTCGTTGCTTGGCCTTCAGTTACTGCATGTCTCTGCGATTGCGAGGTCGGAGGCGCAGTTCATAGAGTAATGACAAGCCCCTTCCGAAAATCGCCGACACTGTCGGTCAAGGCCGTATGACACTGAGAGACATTCTTCTTAGAGTGTGCGAGAACGGCGGAAAATTTGCAGCCAGCTGCCGAAACGCCCATGAAGATGATGACGGCCCGGATTCCTTACCCGCATGGCCTCGACCACACACAAGGCTTGCAATTTGGAGAGCTTTGGGTCGAAGGGTGGCGAGAATACCCGTACACCCAGCGATGGTAGTCTTATCCTCGAGCTCCTGCGTGACGATCTCAACCACGGTTCCAAACCCAGGGCAGGGCTTGCAGTGACGGCCTTTTGTGGGGCACTTTGATGCAATGGGCTTGGACAGACATCGAGCCACTGAGGTCATGATGCAGTGCTATCATGCCTTCGGAGATGGTTACTGCTACTTGCCAAGTGTGTCGCGGGGATGATCGTCCTCCACCCTGAACTCACGTTATTGTCGTTTTCCAATTGAAGGGGACAGAGCATATCCAGGACCACAGCCACGCCTACTAGATTCCACACGAGTCTTCGGTGCACTCAATTACTCAGTGTGGTGTCATCGAAGATTGTTTTAGGGAGGCGTGTCTGCGAAGTGTCTGGATCAGCAAATGGTGGCTGAGGTTACTCGCCGATTGCATCGGACCTCTTCGATGCCTATGAGGCGAGACCGCAACTTCTTAAATCAAAATATTTGGATCTTCGGCAGAGACCTATCTGAGAAGGCTTGCAGAGCCCCTGAGCCACGTGCGACTGGACTGCAAGAGGCCGCATCAGCTATGAAGGATGTTTCATTGCTTTCTGTGTGAAATGCTGAACCCTTCACACTGAACGTAAAAGCGGTTTTGACAAGCTTCGTGGGGGACAACAAATTCTGCGACTTATGTGGAGTCAGCTCCTTTTGTTTGGCATTTCATTGGATCTTGAAGGAGTCAGTCAGCATGTTTCAATTGCTATCATTCTGCAGCTGAGCACTGCAAGCACCATCATCAGGGGCCGTTTTCTGTACAGTCTTATAGAGACGAGCTTAGGAGCTGCCACCAGCCCGTGACGAAGCTTTAGGTGCCCGGGCGGCATGACAATGGCTTGGGGCTTGCTTGTGGCCTCCGTTTACTGCGGAGTTCAACGCACTGCTACGCTTTAGCTTCGCACGGCGTTGTTTCAGCCCACCTCTCCAGCCAGGCGGGAAGCTCGAGCCAAGCCACCTGTGAATGTGGTTTCGTTTCTTGGGACACGCCGAGGAATTTTGCAACGTCGCCTGAAGGACAGTCCGACAACTCCCCCAAACCCGAAAAGCTCTTGCTTGCGGGTGTGGGCCCCTTTAGCGATGCCATAGACCGAACTTGTACAAATAGAGATACCTTGAGCACTGCCACTGGCATTTCGATGTGTCCCTGCCGAGTCCAGATAGCTGAAATCGAATGTGGAATCCTCAAGTCAATTTATACACGAAACATCTGAGTGTGAGCAGGCCCTCAGTGATCCTTCACGTGAAACGGACGTCGGTGATGCCGCATATTTACTTATGCAAAAGTAGCCCAAGCTCAGTGGAAAGTTTCTGAACGTGGAGCACTCGGGCTGAGTCCATGTACAGCTTCAAACTTCAAGCATCTAAGAGCTTGGGCATTCATCGTTTTGAACATACAGTAGGGTTTTGGGTGCCTTATATTCCGGCAGGAGACTTTGTCCTTCCAGTCGGAAGACCCCTCGCGCCACTCGCTCCGTGGAGCTTTGCAGCTTTGGAGCAATGACTTCGCCTCAAAAAGGTCTCAAAAGATACTCTATATAAAGTTCAGGAATATTCTCGGGATGCAACTTGGACCAGCAGCGTCAGACGGAGTTGACTTTAATGTGGCTCTTTGGGCAAACATAGGCTGAAAGAGGAACCCGCTCGCTCCTAGAATCAAAGACCATGTCTGGCTCCTCCTTAGAATCTTGCAGAGCTTAGCTTCGACTAGTGGCGGCTTTGCTCACGGCGTTGGATTTGATAGAGGATGCTGTTTGCAATGTTTTTCGAGCCTGCTATCTGTACGTTTATGTGGACTACATGGGAGCATAGTTGCTATTGCCATTTTCAGATCCCTTTAACTGCTGCGAGCGCCAAACTCGCAACCCATTCTGATGCAGCTTTTATTTCTGTCTGAGGTGGGGCGCCTGCTTCAACGGCTACTCCAGCGATGTAACTGTGGAAGGACGGTTTCTTGGGGCTCAGTTGCTCCAGAGACTCTAACACTTGGTGCAAGGAAGCTCAGCTCCAGCACTCAAGATGGATCCTGTGCAGAATCCGAATGCCCCAGTAATCCTGCGCCGCACTGGTAGCCTCGCCGCCCCGAGGAGAGACGCTGGCAGTCTTCAAGGCGCCTTGGCCCGGCCACTGCACGGAGGGAGCGGGGGGCGGAAGAATCAGAGTGCGCTTTGGGGTGTAGGGACGACGTAAGGGATGGGGAAGCTGCTGATTCTGCACCTCTATCTTACTTGACCTATATACCTGAACTCTTAGCCATAGGCCCCTGGAGAGCGACCGAGAGTCTGCGAGAGTGCGAGGCGGTGGCAGAGAGGTATGCCCTGCCCATGCATCTCGGCGGCAACGAATGATTTCGGGCTGAGTTAATATCGGCGAGCATAAGGGTTCTCAAACGGGTTTGAAGGTTTTCGGTCTTATTTATTTCTTCACCCATAGACTTGAGATGCTTAGATCCTCACTTTGGACTGCGGGTTGGCGCAGCTCTGCGTATTAAACGGGACCCATCACGGCAAGACAGGAGCCTGCAGCTGAAATTCCCAGTCCTAGTGCTTGCAACGCAACTGCTGTTCCGTTGGCCGAGCAGAAACCTAACCCACATGCGGCCCCACGTCTCAAGGATGTCGCCGTAGCCCAGCTGCCAGTACCCACTTGCAATCACTTAGCAATCAGATGAGCGCTAGGGTTGCTGGTGGGACAAAAAGTGCCATTCGTGCTGAGTGGGTGCGCTGTCAATTTTCCAACCACTTGCAGACTACACCCCTAGACCGGCCCTGCGCCTTTGCGCTTGAACCTCTTGGTCCTGTCGTCTGCCTCGTGTAGATGTGTACAGAGAATGGCATGCGGTATGGAAAAACTGGCGACGCTCCACTTCGATGCCTGCCGGCGACTTCAAAGCGACCAAAGCCACGTGGAGGATTCAAGGGTTTCCCTCTTGAACCCTGTGGCCAGGAGGCACAAAGAAGTTCGGCTGGAGATCACCACATGCAGTGCGAATGCTCCAGAATGCATGTATAGGAGCAGTGAGATGCTGCTTTCCCAGGCGTTCTTCCTTCGCAATACTGGGGCCTGAACAAATAAGTATCCCCTTATGTAATCCTTCCACAGATACACCATGCAATATCCCAAGGCACCTGTTCGAGTTCTTGAGGTCCCTTTGTTACTGGTAGCTCCCTGGAGCCGGCAGGAAACGGCGTCCTTCACACTGGACATCGCAGACAAGCTGGGGACCTGCTTATAGAGGGGCCGTGCCGTCATAGGCACTCCAAATCATGCATTCATCTTGCCAGGGGTTAGGGTACCCGGGGTTGAGATTTAAGGCAGGTTCATGGTTTAGGGCTTGGGTGTGGAGCTCGGCCTTCAGATCCTTGATGGTTTGGAAGTTGAATGGATTTTGCAATACATGCCGAACAGCATGTGTTTCATGCAGCTGGACCTCGCAAAGCAGCTACACGAAAGTGGTTCTAGCTTCGCCAGATACGCTGTCAGTATGAGCCAGTTGTTGATGCACATCCGGTATGTCAACCACGATGCCTTGCTTCCTTCCACCAAGTGACTGAGCAATTCCCAGTGCAGCATTCTGCCAAGGAAGGCATTAGGAGGGTGCTGCAAAGCCTCCACCTTAAACCCGGCACCCAAACCCTGGACAAAAGTGTAAAGCCCTAAAACAAAGGCTCCTACGAAGGCTTTACTAAGGCTGGAAACCAGCACCCTAATCACTTGTCAAGACCTTAAACGCCTAAGCCCTATAATCGTAAAGGCTTCCAGAAAAGCTGCAGGACGGGAGCATGCTCGGTCGTCTATAGGCTTGCGCTAGCATGCTCGCAGTCTGACGACAAAGAGCGGTCCCGGCCCCTCGCCGCCGCTTGCTTGCATTCCTGCTTGAAGGCTTCCAATATATGGGTTCAACTGCTGCTAAAAGTAGCCATAGGTGCGGCTGATGTTCGAAGGTCTTGGAGAGCAAAAGCTTTTAAGTTCAAGCCACGAGGGCATGGGGCGCAACGATTCGCAGATTTCGGCATTTTGGGCGCTCTTTCATGCACATAAAATTCGCATCAGACCCTCTTCTCGCCACAGATCGGCCTGACAGAAGCCAGACGCCCTAAACCCTAAACTCCACATCGGCTTGTCTCGGTTTGGCAACAGGCGAAGTTCCTTGTACACCGGGACGGCTGCAGGGATCCTCATGAGCTGCCTCGAGAGGCGGGAACCAAAAGCGATTGAAGAAAAGAAGTCTCCTTAGGGTTTTCCAGTTTGATCCGTCCATCCTCCGCATCCGCACGTGACAAATTGAGAACCCCGATTTGGGCCCCAAACTTTCTGTAAGAAGTCCAGACTTGGCATTCCTCAGTATAAGAGACCCCGCCTTCATCGCAGGTGTTTTCAGGAGTCTCTCCGATGTTTCTCTAGCTTCGGTGGAAAGCCACCAGTCATGAGCTGCTCAACCTGACAGTCCAAACCACGAAGGCGCAGATGCTCATGCTGGCTTCTGGCAACCGGTACATCCTCAAATGCTTAGGTCTCTTCGAGGTGGGGCAGATCTCGCATCCGAGCTGGTCGGGGCTGCGGGGTCTGACACCCATGCAAACTCGTTACCAGCTCAGTTCGATATGCGACCACACGCCTCAGCCAATCAGGGGCCCCTTTTGATCATGGACAGAGCCCCTTGAGCCCTTCGAAGCCAGGTGGATCTGGATGCGCAACCCAAACTCCGCGGCTTTTTTGCAAGGACATCCAGCCACAAGGCACCAAAGATTGCAGCTGAGTTGCATCCAATGCTGAAGCTGATGAACATGCTGAGAAACCCCGCTACCTCACGAAGAGCTGCCTAGAAAGCTTCCCGAGACCCCACAGGCCGGAACAGAACTGAGGAAATCGACGACACGCCCCCGGGCCGGGGGTTTTTCCTCCTCGAGGCCGGGCCATTTTCCTCCGGGCTTCAGAGATTAAAGATAGAAGGATAGAGGCTTTAGATGATTTTATGCCTCAGCGCACAGGAACTTTGCTGCTGCACCCTCCACGACTTGGTGGAGCACGTTTCTTTCAAGGAGCCTTGCTCAGGATAGGTGGAGTCTTGATGTAAGCCGTATTCTTGAGTAGGCCCAAGTATGGGGTTTGAGCACATGGCCAAGTACTTGCTTTGAAGCTTCCGCGAGCTGAATCCATTTCTGGTCTGTGCTCTGTCACAAGAGCCTCAGGCATGATGCATCCCACCGTCCCTTTCTTTGCCAGAAGAGTCCAGTTACTTTCCAGAGCTCAAGAATTCCTTTTAGTTCGGGAATACTCCTTGAATTAGGGCACGGTTCAATTGACAGGATATCAACTGAGCTTGGGGGTATTGCCGGTACTGGGCTCTCTGAGTGCATCGCATCGTCGGGGAGCGAAAGAAGCGCAGGAGTCAGAAGCTGCATTTGCTTTGCACTCAGCGCTTTGCGGGCTCATGCATCTCCATGCTCTTGGCAGCTGGGCCTTGAACGATGCGAAAAGATGGCTTTTGTTATTGGAGGGTTTCCAAAAGGGTCCTGTAAGGTTCCAGAAGGATTCCGACAACAAGCTCTAAGGGTTGCAGGCGATCACGCCCCGTGCCCAGTTCAGGATGTGGAAGGGGATTTGATCACCAGATCCTTAGACTGTTCCTGAAAGCTTGCGGCATCGTTATCGTGGAGAGAACATTCCTGCGACCAAATTCATGCGAACGTGGCTCCGACCTGAAACGGCATCAGGGCAAGCTAAAGCTAAATGCTTGATGGATGTGACTGAGATCCATCCCTGACTCATGCAGAAGTTTTGTCCGAAGTTTGAGCTCTTGAGCTGTTCTCCCACAACCAGGCTGAGGGCCACCGTATTGGCCGTAGCTTCTCTCTCAGAATTTGGTGAAGCCAGGCATCGTGCATCGCGACATCAAGACCGCCAACATCATGGCCGCTTTGCTTTCCCTCCTGTCCCAACGAAAGCGGCAAACGAAGCCCCCTCACAGTCCTGTTGCCGAACACAAGAGGTTTCGAAGATCGGGATCTGCAAGTGGCCTCAAGCACGAAGTCTGCATCACTTTGCCCTTCAACCGGGAGGGTGTGGACGTGTTGGGTAGGAGACCCAATAATTAATCCTTCGGTTGTTGGGGTTGTGAAGCAAACTTATGCCTCGTAAACGATCGTCAAGAAGGAAGGGATGGGTTTCTCCAGGTAAGGGAGTGGGACTTGCCAAAGGTTTCCGATGGCGGCCTCCGTGTGATCTTGGGCGACTTCGACCTTGTCTCCCACATGCAAGTCCGGGTTTGGGGGTTCATGGTCTAGTAACTAGTAGAGATGGGTTTCATATGCGACCGTTGGATTCCAGGCTGCGAGGTTCCTGTGTCATGCGGGTGTTGCTCAGGCGCTAGATTCTCCAACACGAAGAACCACAAAAGGTCAGGAGAGCTACTTAGTAGGCTGTATACGTAAGCCTTGGACCACGAGAGCCCAAAACACGGTGATTATAAAGCCTTGTACTTACTCGACTAGGTCCCCCGGATCCTCCCAGGACGCCTCGACCCCTACGGCATGTTGGGTCCAGAGTCCTGAAGACAGCGGAGTGCACGTTGTCCGGTGCTGTCAGAAACTCTTCGCCAACATAGAGGCTTGAACAGTTACGAATGTGATTCATTCGGCTTCCTGAGCTTGTACTGCAACAGTTACCCGGCAAGACCTTACTCTTGTGTTCGTACTAAGGCTCTAGGGTTGAGGGATAGAGCCGATTGCAACCGAGGCTGCATGTTTGCCTGATGATAGCGCTGAGATGGCCTGGAATTGTGGGACTGCGGGTGCCTTTGCTTCGGTTCGTGGCGACCCAGGCATGTACTACAGCACCTGGTGAGGTATTGATGTTGGCTTTGAAGTTCTGCAACGAAAAGTTGTTGTTGCTGAAAGCCGTAGGTGCTGCTGGCAATGCCTCAATCCCAAGAGAGTCGACACCGAATCCTGGAAAAAATCCGCAACACCTGCTGGCCAAGGATACCTGGCACCAGAAGTTTATGGCAGCCACAAGGGAAGCAAGGCCACAGATCCCTGTCGAAAGTAGCTTTTCTTTGCAGCAGCCTCGTCAAGATGTCCAAGGCCCGCTGCATGGCCCACAAACCCTGATACAGAGCTACGTAAAGCAGGCTCTGTTTCTAGGGGCTCAATTCGACAACCTCGCGTTTTGATCCCGACGGTGTGCAGCCCTGCGCTGTGTCCCCGAGGATCTTTTCGCATTGGGAGTGGTGCTCTACGTCCTGCTGACAAAGAGCGCCTAGTTCCACATCATGAGGGCACCTGCATGTAGATGATTCCAGCAGCAAGCACTTCAAACCTCATC